ATCACTCACACCTGGGCACACCTGGGTCACTCACACCTGAGTCCCTAGCCGGTCCAGCCAGGTCTCGTCCATGGACTTGGAGCGCTCCTTGAGCTTGTACCCCTCACACCTGGATCCCTCACACACCTGTACCAATCACACACCTGGGCACACCTGTATCAGTCACACACCCGAGCACACCTGTATCATTCAGTCACACCTGGGCACACCTGTACACTCACACCTGAGTCCCTACCCGGTCCAGCCGGCTCTCGTCCATGGACTTGGAGCGCTCTTTGAGCTTGTACCCCTCACACCTGGATCCCTCACACACCTGTACCAATCACACACCTGAGCACACCTGTGCACTCACACCTGAGTCCCTACCCGGTCCAGCCGGCTCTCATCCATGGACTTGGAGCGCTCCTTGAGCTTGTACCCCTCACACCTGGGCACACCTGTATCACTCACACACCTGTACCAATCACACACCTGTATCAGTCACACACCTGATCACATCTGTACCAGTCACACCTGTCCCAGTCACACCTGTGGCAGTCACACCTGGGCACACCTGTGGCAGTCACACCTACCCTACCCGGTCCAGCCGGCTCTTGTCCATGGACTTGGAGCACTCCTTGAGCTTGTACTCCTCACACCTGGGTCCCTCATGCACCTGTATCACTCACACACCTGTACCAATCACATACCTAAGCACACCTGTATCAGTCACACCTGTCCCAGTCACACCTGGGTCACTCACACCTGAGTCCCTACCCGGCCCAGCCAGCTCTCGTCCATGGACTTTGAGTACTCCTTGAGCTTGTACCCCTCACACCTGGGCACACCTGGGTCACTCACACACCTGTACCAATCACACACCTGTATCACTCACACACCTGTATCAGTCACACCTGTGGCAGTCACACCTGCCCTACCCGGTCCAGCCGGCTCTCGTCCATGGACTTGGAGTACTCCTTGAGCTTGTACCCCTCACACCTGGATCCCTCACACACCTGTATCACTCACACCTGAGCACACCTGTATCAGTCACACCTGGGCACACCTGTGGCAGTCACACCTGCCCTACCCGGTCCAGCCGGCTCTCGTCCATGGACTTGGAGTACTCCTTGAGCTTGTACTCCTCGCGCTCGATGTGCGCGCTCTCGATGTCGGCCGACAGGTGCGGCATGTTGGACACCCAGGCNGGGACAGCCCAGGGACATGGGGACAGCCCCAGGGACACCCCTGGCATCACAGGGATGTGGGGACACCTCTGGGGACACACTCAGGCACATGGGGACACCCTGGGGCCAGCCAGGGACTTGGGGACAATTGTGGGGACACACATGGGCAACAGCATGTCCCCAGGTCCCTTGGTGTCCCCGTGTCACCTCTGTGTTACTCGTGTCCTACATGGGCCTGTGTCACCCCCACATCCTTGTGTCCCCTGTGTCCCCGTGTCCCTGTGTCCTTCTGTCCCCCTGTGTCCCCTGTGTCTGTCTGTGTGTCCCCAATGCCCCTGTAGCCTGATGTCCCTGTGTCCCCCTCGATGTCCCTGATGTCCCCAAAGCCCCCTTGCTGTCCCCGTGTGTCCCCACATCCCTGCACGTCCCTGTGTGTCCCCAGTGTCCCCTGGCTGTCCCTGTGTGTCCCACATCCCTGTGTCCCCTGTCTGTTCCCATGTCCCTTGTCTATCCCCAACATCCCCATGTCCCCTGTCTATCCCCAATGTCCCTGTGTCCCCTGGCTGTCCCCGTGTCCCTGACTGTCCCCTGGCTGTCCCCATGTCCCTGTCTGTCCCCTGTCTGTCCCCATGTCCCTGGTTGTTCCCATGTCCCTTGTCTATCCCCAACATCCCCATGTCCCCTGTCCATCCCCAACGTCCCCTGGCTGTCCCCATGTCCCTGACTGTCCCCTGGCTGTCCCCATGTTCTCATGTCCCTTTCTGTCCCCAGCTTCCCCATGTCCCCTGGCTGTCCCCATGTCCCTGTGTCCCTGTATCCCCACATCCCTGTGTGTCCCCATGTCCCTGTGTGTCCCCGTGTCCCCAGGCTGTCCCTGCTGTCCCCATGTGTCCCTCATCTGCCAATGATGCTCCTGATCTGCGAGTCCCTGTGTGTCCCTGTCCCTGTGTGTCCCCATTTCCCTGTCAGTTCCTGTGTCCCCATTGCCCTGTTTGTCCCCAATGTCCCCATGTCCCTGTGTGTCCCCATGTGTCCTCGTGTCCCCAGGCTGTCTCTGCTGTCTCCGTGTGTCCCTCACCTGCCAATGATGCTCTTGATCTGCGAGTCCCTGTGTGTCCCTGTCCCTATGTGTCCCCATGTCCCTCTGTCTCCCGGTGTCCCCGCTGTCCCCGTGTGTCCCTCGCCTGCTGAAGACGCTCTTGATCTGTGGGTCCCCATGTCCCCGTGTGTCCCCATATCCCTGTGTGCCCCTGTCTGTCCCCATGTCCCTGTGTGCCCCCATGTCCCCAGTGTGTCCCTGTACCCCCATAGCCCTGTGTGTTCCCATGTCCCCAGGCTGTCCCC